TTTCCTTATCTGATCAGTGGGCTTGCCAACTTTACCATGACCTTTGGGGATGGTTTGGGATTTCCGGCTGCACTTCACGAAGTCCTTCTTCACGTAAGTTTGAACTTGAGTTTTAGACTCATCAAATCTGATCTTCTTCTTGATCACGTTCGATGCAACCTTATGGAACGTCCCTTCATCATCACTCCAATCATGGATAAGTGCAGGAGTAGCCTTTGAACTTGGTGCTTCAGTGTTTGGAGCAGTGTTGAATAGATGAGGATCGTGGCGTTTGTTGCATTTGTCTCATTACCGACACTTGCCCTTAGCCCAATGCCAGCATGGTTCATCAATCTTCTTGGTCTTGTTTGCCGGAGACTGACTTCTTGGAGTTCCTGGCTTCCGACCGTTGCCTTTTGCATTCTTGTTCGCATCAAATACCTTTTGGTCGTGACTGTATTCACAATCCTTGCCTTTTCTGCATGCTTTCTTGATGAAATGGAAATGGCATGGGATCTTCTTCTTGGATCTGGGGCTGGTACTTCGGCTGTTTGCTCGATCCTTCCCTTTCCCTTGACCTTTTCCTTTTCCTTTTGCATGCTGTTTAGGCTGAGGTGATGGTAGAACTGGAGCTGCATCGGCCTTGGCCTTCGCCTTGGGCGCTGCCTTCTCCTTGGGAGTAGCTTTAGGCTTCGCTTTTGGATTTGCAAAGGTGCAGCAGCAGTTGGGTTCGGAGCAGGAGCTGAAGGTTTGCCGCCGCCTGCAAAGTCTCTCGCATACTTCTCTCTGGCTGCCACATGCTTGTCCTCTCTGATTCTGGAGATGTGCCTTTCGATGACATCCAACAGGTAGCGATAATTTCGTCTTTGGTCTCCTTCCATCCATGACTCGTACTGCTTGATGTCAAACATCATAAGACTCGAATTTCGAATCTTCTTGTATAGAGCGTCACGAAGCCAATCATCAGGAGGTACGTCATCCGGCATCATGTTTGATACCATCTCCATCCATTTCTCGTAGAACACTTCTAGGTTCGAGTCACCGAGATACTTCATCGATACGATGTGCTCCATGGTGAAGGATGTTTCTCGTTGACCTGGGGTTCTGAAGTGCTCCAGAATCAAAGCCAAGATTTCCCGTCCCATGACATAGGTTCCTCTTCGGCTATGACTTTGTGTTCTCAATCTCAATTTGATCGCTACATGACGAGCAACATCACCGGCTTGGGCTATCACGTTTGACAATGCAATTGACAACTTGGCGTCGATGGACTGATACCGTTGCCCCCCACTGTCATTCAACAGCTCGATGTCAGGATTTGGTCGAATAGCCGGCTGTAGCCATGCTTCCCATGCGGCTTTATCCCCGTCATTTGCCGAAAGAACAACACTCTTGATGAGATCTGATTGCCAAACCCCAAGATTCTGTTGCTTTGGCCATGGGCTAACATAGACTTTGTCAGCCTCTCGTCTTGACATTCTTGGTACTTCTTCCGCAGTGTAAGCCGCTGTGGAGACATCATCTGCTGAATCGCGTTGTGATCCTCGAACCGATGGCAAACCAGGTGGTTCAGGAGGTGGTCCTGGACCGTTAGGCCCAAAAGGGTCCGGAGGTCCATCAGGGTCAGGCGGACCGCCCCATCCACTCGGTGGCCTGTAGTATTCCCTCTCAGTTCCGCCAGCGATCTTGTTGTCAACCTCTTTCAGTAGATCAGCGATTCTCTTGCTTGATTGAGAGTGCTGTGGTTGTTGAGGAGGTGCAGCATGCCCACGATAGGAATGAGCCACATTTGTCTCATAAGTCAACTCCTTGTCGATCTGCGAAACCCAAGATTTCAGAATAGCGTTTTCACAGTTAGCCTCACTCACGTCATTCTCCAGTTTGTCGATGACCAGTCTGGATGCGAGATCGGAGTTGGGAATGCCTGCCGAATAGGGAAGTGTGTCAGGACTGATCCTAGCCAAAGATGTTTCAGAATCCTTGAGACTCTTTCTCAGTTCATCTAAGTGACGTTTCATGTCAACAATCTCAGAATTCTTGATGCCAATCTTTTCATCCCTATCCTGGATTTCCCCCATGAACATGCATGATCTCTCATATTGTTGAACACCACTCGCCAATTTTAATTTTCGCTCACTCTCTAGTTCAGATCTTAGAGTTCGGACCTCAGCATTGGTGAGGGACGACGCCCCTACATCCGCAACTTCAGCCAACCTTTCTTTTAACAACAAGTTCTCTTGTAAGCATTCATGAACTTCATGATCTAGATCCTGAACCCTGATTTGAGCGATCTTAGCTTGATTACGTAGATCTTCAACAAGCATCTCTTCGGGGCCACGACCGTCGGTCGTAGAACCCTGAGTCAACGATCTTCGTAACTTCGTGTTCTGCAACTTGATCTCATCCTTCAATTCGCAGTTCATCTTCTGCTCGTTGGCATAGAGCTCTTCATAGTGCTCTGCCCTTGCGATCGAGTTTGCACTAGCCTGTGATTCAAGCCTCAGGTGAGATATTGCTTCGGCCTCCTGGTTCCTGTATGATGCAATTCTTTTGACGGTATCATGTTCAGTGTTTCGATGCTTCAGATCACTTTCCAATTTGGCCTGATTTGCCTCGAACACCTTCTTCCTAGACTCTCTAGTGATCTCATCAATACTGCTCTCATACAGCTCGGCCTGTTTACGAGACTGAACCAAGGCTTCACTCAATAGCTGATTTCGCTCAGATAATTCATGAACTGCAATTGACTGTTGCTGGCTAATCACTTCAAGTTGATTACTAGAGGAGGATGCCATTTCAGATCGATTACGATATTCCATGATTGAGTTCTGGAAATCATTTTGCATTTCTTGACCTTCATTGTATAGTCGATTGGCAATATCGGTGGTTAAGACATTGGTTTGATGAAGTTGTTGTAGTCTTGCCTCCGTATTACCCAGTAGTCCTTGAAGGTGATGTACTTCATCCTTGTACTCCTCCTGGATCTCCATACCACGTTGATGGATCCGTCGTGCACCATGTTCCATTAGGGCACCTCGGCGTTCAAGGTCTTGGATGCGTATTGTTGCACCTTCATCTTCCTGAGATGCTACCATTAGTTCTGCTTGATATTCTGCAACTTCATTTGCGGAACATGACAATCTATGATTGAGTGCATTGACCTCATCAAATACATTCTGATTGTGTTCCCGAAGATACTCAGTGAACCTGATCTCGATGTCATGAATCAGTTGATCCCTGGATGCAGCGTATGCTTCCATGTTGTTCAGCTGATTACGTAGGGATTGACATTGTGCCCGTAGTTCTTCTATCATGGCAATAGGTTCACTAGCCACAGAAGTATCCGTCGATCTCCTCTTAACACGACTATCCCCGGTCCTCTCACCAATTCGGTCGGTTACGGCCCTGGTGGATCTGTCCCTTGGAGTAGTACGTCCTCGAGATGGTCGATGCCCTTGGCGGACAACATCACTCCGAGCACTGTTTCGAGAAGATCTAGGTGTACTTTGGGTGGATATTCTTCGTCTGTTTGATGTGACTTGCCATCCGGACTGTGTAGTTCGGGTAGAGCGTATCCCGCCACTGTCTGCCGTGTCGCCAGGGGAAGATTGATTGACCTCCTCGACCGGCATAGCAGCGTTCTCATTGAAGGTAAACTGCGTGGTGCGCGAATCTCCGCTGCCGCCTTGCATCTTTGCGATGGTGAGCTGATTGGTCCTTTGCGTCCTCAATCAATTGCTCAGAAGGCCCGGCTACCAGCACGCAGGTACCACTCTCCCGGCGGGAGAAGTGAGCCCTACGGCTGATAACCTGTGAACAAATGAATCCTTGTTCTGGATGTAGTTATCAATTGCGGTACCTGTTATGCTAGTATTGCCGGACACTGATGAGGCATGGCAAGCGCAGCTCGGACCCTTTTCCTCGCACACGGACTTGAGCCAGTACGGCGTCCAGATGTACAATTAAGCATGTACATCACAAGTGTCCTAGTGTTCAGTTCCCTTTGACAATATATATATATATATATTATATATATAAAGTTAAACATTCAACCATGTTTAACAAGTTCAATTTGATATCTTGATATGACCACAAATAACCGACATTCTTGTCCAGCAAATCTCTTGGAAGGGATGGAACGAATTCTCTTGCAACCAGTGGAAGTTGAATGGATTTTCGGATGAATCTACTGTACAATTTGTGACAAATTGAAGCCCAGGAGCCACTGCACCTAGTACCTGGATTTATCCATGGAAAATACATTGTGAAACCATACATTCGTCGTGAACCCCTTCCTATAAGTGACAGAGGGCGGTCTTTAAAGAATCATCTTATGGTCTATGAAAAAAGTATGAATACACATTACCAACATTTGCGCTGCGGCGCTGCGGGTATAAAACCCTTCGCCGAATGTTAAGAAAAAGCAGGATCAGCACGCTGCACCTTTACGTAATGGTGATGATGATGATGATGATGATAATGGTGATGATGCTGATGATGCTGATGACGACAAAGAAGAAGCATGATGATGATGATGATGATGATGATGATGATGATGGTGATAATGATAATAATAACGCTGATGATAACGGTGCTGATGATGAAGAAGAAGAATTATGTACATGACAAAAAGAAGAAACATGATGATGATGATGATGATGCTGATGATGATGATGATGATAATGACGATGATGATTATGAGGAGGATAAGGGGGATGAGGAGGAGGAGGATGGCAAAGAAGAAGAAGAAGCATGATGCTGATGCTGATGCTGATGATGATGATGACGATGATGATGATGATGATGATGATGATAATGATGATATGGCCTTAGACGGGAATGAAGATCATGATGATCAGGCGCGTTCCAAAGCGATGCTTGAGACCGCGTTCCGCAGCGATGCTTTTGAACGCGTTCCAAAGCGAGTACCTAACCGACTTGAGCCTCCCTGTTCAAATAACTCCGGCAAAGAGTACAGCTTCAAATGGTCGAGAAAGAGCCATGGAGTGCAAACAAGTGGCGTAAGGGTGCAACCTGGAGGGCAGGATTCATCGCAATCCAACCAAACTACCCGCGAGTCGGTTGCAATAGGAGCTTGGATAGGCTGATTTTTCGATGCATGCAGAAACAAGTGGACAAATCATGACAAATCTATGATTTCTTTGACAGTCTTTGACAAATTATCCCGGAGGAAAAAGTGCAACCAGCCTCAGGTCGCCCAAGGAGCGGGACATTGCCAAGCCACCCATACCTCACAGCAAGGGCTGTCAGGTGGGCTACTCTCGCCATGCACCCTGGTGGGAACCCCGGGCCTTGCTTGTCCATGACACGTTCTGGGCCTGGCACACCATGCTGCTCCATAAACTTTGATAGTGAGGTTTTTATGACGTCAAAAGACCTTATTTTGACCCTGGTTATGTTGGTCCTACCTGCTCGTATCCATCTGACACCCCCTCGTTGAACCACCGGGATTGCCATTTGATCCACCTGCAATAGCAGAAATGCAGAAGCGCTGTATTGCACATTTTGCTCACTGCACTGCACACTTTGACATAGCAAGTGTCCTACCAAACCATTTACATAATTTCATTTAATCTTGGCAGCCTGGATGGAGACATAAACCTTCGCAAACCTATCGCAACTTTGGTGACCAGTAGGCCCTCTCAGTAGACGACCGTGCCACCAGCTGCAAGGATTCGCTGACGTTCATCAGGCCGAGCCGGTTTCCTCAGGGATAGCATCAAGGGAAAGCTTGGCTAATTTGGCTGAACATGGCTAAACATGGCTAAACTGTCACTTGCGATGTTCTCAAACTCGGTGGCCCCCGCTGGTCAGATGAAAGATCCACAGCCGAAACTGTCTGACGAGCAGGTGTGCTGCATCGGCCCAGCACAGCCCTGGAGTCACCAACCTCGCTCGATCCGGCTTGCTTCGTTGATGGAAGTCAATGGTCCATTCGGAAAAACCATCCACTTTTTGGGCACTGGGTCAGCATCTGTGCCATTCTACCGTTGTGTCTGTGCATTCTGAAGCCAGTTGCTGCACTCTATCTCTCTCTCTCTCTCTGCATTCAGAATCATTCAGCAGATCGATCAAGGTAAACCATGGTAACCCTGCTGCTCCTTGAGCTGCATCACTGGGGCAGCTGCATTGGCCACCACCAGGTGGTTGCGGTGCCTTCGACAGTTCCATTGCTGAGTTGATTTTGCTTCATGAGCTCTGCAGGGTGAGGCTTTCAGGCAAGGCGCTGATAGGCCGTGATCGCTGTTGTTCCAGATAGTTCAGCTTGGTGGCGATGCTCCTTCTCGATCTTCTCCTGTGCAAAATCCCAGTGGGTGATTGGGAAGTGCCTGGACACCCTGATGGTTCTGCAAAACATTGCTTATGAGACTGCAACATACTGCAACGCAGCAACTCTGGACATCTATGCGCACTTGCATGTACAGTGTCGATATCGCCACTCATCCCTTGGTAGGCGTGATAAAAATGTACTGTATATAAATGCGTCCCTATTTTCTAGCCCTAAAAATGGTACCCACAACAAACAACCAACATGTCACCTCTAAAGAATCACAAGTCACCAGGCATGGGGGTCTGACATCCTCAAGAAAGAATCTTCTCCAAACAATCAGGGGTCCGGGTTAGAGTGGTGTCACCCTTCCCTTGACACCCTTGCAGCTGCTTGCACACAGCAGCGACCACTTATCATCTAATTTCAATTGAAAACATTTTACCTTTAGAAGCCCTCCCTAACAAAATAAGGTTCCAGATTGCCCGCGAAAAAGGGGAGTCCAGCTGCGAGGCGAATTGCGATCCCCCCGGCAGAAAAAAAAATTACTATACACTATATTTACCCGGGGAAAAACTGTTGGAACAACCCTGGCGACTGATGTGACTCCGTGGTTCAATATGTTTTAGGAGAAATTATTTGTGGATCTGTAAGTTGCAGATAGCCGGGTAGATATTGCCGAGAAATGCCGAGAACATGTAAGTTGCAATTGTTTGGGGAAACATGTTTCGCCCGCTTACATTGCACACGTGGCTCATATCCGCACTGGCCTGTGTGTCGCGAAAGGCGGCCTGGCAGGAAGCTCTCCGACTCAAAACAAGGCGACGCCACTGTGAACAGGTGCTTCATATTGTTTCATATTGTTGCAATGGCCATTCAATGGTCATTCAATGGTGTTTCTGAATGCTTCATCCATGTTTCCATGTCTAATGGTGGTCCAAGCTTCTTGGATTTCTCAGTCAAGGTTTGCTGCAATAGAGTCCCTGAGTCTGACATCTCAATCTATGCAAAAGCAACCTGGATAGCGGCAACGGGCTCAGTGTGCAGGTCGTTGTTGCTGAACAAGCTCTTGCTCAACGCCTGAGGCAAAACAGCATGTGCTGTTACAAACCCTTTCTCTTGACAAACATTGCTGAAGAGAAGCACCGTGCACCTGCTTGGCAAAATGTGACATCTTTTTACCTTGGTCTCCATGTCCGTCAAAGACCTCACAAACGAGCGGCTGTGGGAAGCGTAGATTGAAGTAACATGAAGCAACTAGGATTGACTGGGTACACCTGGGTACCTGATGATTCCTAGTGGATCCTAATGGTTCCTAGGCCGCGGGCGCCGACGAAACACTTTGTTCCGCTTTCGCTGCACGAGGTGCAAAATGCGTCCTCATGTTCAACACTTTGTGAACTGAACAGAACAATCAGAACAATCAGAACACATGTCCAAAGTCCAAAGGTGCTTAAATCGTTGGATGCTCACACATTCCTGGCCACCTTTGCGGATCCATGCGGATCCATGTGGATCCATAATTACGCGCATTCCACGTGTCTCATACGTTGAACTCATACGTGTCTCTCCTGATTCTCATCGCCTTTGCCAAAATTTGGTACACTCCATGCTCCAACTAGAGCCTTTGGGCCGGAAACTTCTCCTGCAAAGAAGCACAGCAAAAATAGACAAACCATTTCAGGTGGAACCGCTGCAGGCAAATTTGAAACGAGGTCAGAACAGCATTGCAATCCATGTCTTTACCCTACGTCGATCTTCTTACCGTCATATGTAGTCATATACATTCATATACTACATATAGTCCGGTGATGTCACGATATCCCATGCACATCTTCTGCCCCACATATCTTCTCCTTTGGGGCGCAAAGCAGCTGGAGTTGCCGGTGGGCATGGTGCTGCGCCTCAGGCAGCAGCGGTCTGAGTGCGGAGTTTGGGCGTCTGTTACGAATCTCAGCTGGTCACCATGACTGCCTTCAGCATGGAACCTTGGCAGATCTTGGCAGGGAAGTCATAGGCAGTCCCCTTCACAGCAAACCATTCCAGGCCCCTTCGGGGACGCACCAGACTCAAGAACTGCAACATCTGCAACATACACACAAATCCCGTTTGATCAAGCAAACTCATCAATCATTGCATGTTCGAACTACACGCGCTTGCTTCCAAGGGGCATGACCGCAGCATACTCTGCAAGAGCCCAGGGCACATGCTTGAGAATCAATCTTTGCAAATGAAAAAATGGTGGAAGTTTGGAAGTGAAGCAGTTTAATGCGGTTTGACCATCGGGTTCTTGAAATCAATGGAGGCTGAGACCCTCTCGCTGTTTGTAGTTGATCATACCTGCAGAATCACATCCTCTGGGCCAATACCGCCCAATACGTGCCGTTTCCTTTTCCCGAAAGCATCCAGTCTTGTCAAGCCCGCGCTTTTCACGGTCCAAAACTAGGCTGATTCGAAGAAATCACCCGCCAGCATCCAGCTGTTTGACTCGGTTTTGTTTTCAGCTCAGTTTCCCTGACTTCCCTGGCGCACGTGGGCGGCCACAGGTCCTCGAGGCCATTGCCTCGATAGTACACCTTCTACTTGAGCCCTCAAGACGGTTAAGCACGAAAGGTGCTGATGAAATTGGAGAAACGGTGAGAAAAGACGAGAAAAGTTGTTTCTGTACCCGGGTGTTATTCATTGTTTTTCAACTCCATGGTTGTGGCAATTTGTGGCTGGGGCATCTGATGTAGGAGTGGATTGTTTGGGCTTTTGGTGGCGGGCCAGTGGCAGAATTGTACTCCTGTACATGCCATCCGGCCATGTCGGCCATGTGTTCGAAGCAGGGAGTCAGTCATCCTCGCTGTCAAGAGCGTTGTCATGTACAATTGCGGGGAAGGTGTGAGAAACCCCATGGGCCACGGAATGAACTCCAAGGCCGGAAGGATCTTGCGTGGCCAAAGCATATGTATGATGAATCGCATGAAAGTCGACGCAATGGAAACCCTGCCCATTGATGGAGACGCATGTCCCGTACGTTCGGTTCCAAAAAATGTCCTCAGAAAGCAGGATATTTGGCCTTTTACACCCTTTTACGCAGTGGGGCACCCTCCCGAACGATATCGAACGATGGCAACTAGACTTGACATTGATGCCTAGCATTATTAGACATCCCCAAATATCCCCAAAAGGTATTTTCCTAAAAACGCTGGGAAGTCAACAAAGGTCAACTGCAAATTCAAACTTGAGAAAACAGAACTTGACGTCACTTGATGTCCCCCAAATAAATTATTTTTGTAAGGCAACGACATGTGACATGTGGCTTGGAGCACTATATACGCCAAGAATCTTCCAAGGTGTAGGAGTGCCGTGCTTCAACCACAGCTCCAGTGGACTCCTCTGTGCCACTGAGCAACACCAGCACTTCCAAGTAAGGTGACTGGCCCCTTGGCTCAAGCTGGTCGTGACGATTAGTCACTTGTACCCCATGGCCGTGTCGAAGTTCTACAATGGCATATCATTATCATGATGGGCATGTCATGTTGTTATTCTTCTACGGGTATACTCTTAGCAAAAGGAACAAAGACGGAGCCGTGCACACTCCAAGGTACAAATAAGTCTTTACTTCAGCTGGTGTTGGAGATCCAGTCCTCAGATCAGAGTGCAGCACAGCAAATGCCATCTGCAGTGAGCCACAAGCCATCGACGAATCTTTCATATACTATGCAGCTGATGTGTTTCAGGATAGTTGTTCCAAAAAAGGATTTAAACAACGGTGAATTATATGAAGGGGCCAAGGAGCACTGTTGACGGAACATCTGGCGCTAGAGGGCTGCTGTAGTCAATTTTGTGTGACACCATTGCTGGCAGACCTGTCAAAATGCAACCCCATGCCACTACCACAACAACTAAGATGCAACACCAGAAGAAAACACGAAGGAAACAAACAGAAACAAGTTTTGGCCCATCGCAGTTGTCACCTCTAGCTCTGAGATACGAGACAGGTCCCCTGGTCAGGCACCGACAACATTCACCCATTCACTTCGTCTAGCAAAGCCTCGCCTAAAAAAATGATTCCATTGTGGATATCCGTATCTGGCTCCTCCAGTTGCATCGCAGCCAACTCAACTCGAATTCCTCTGGGTTGACTGGTATCACGATGATGCTGCACGCAATAAACTTGCCTTGGTCAATTGACGGGAACCTCAACCCTTCCTATGATTCTAGAGCGGGACCCAAGTTCTGTGCTTCTAGTTGCTGCTTGCAAAGCCGAAAAAGGAGAAATATTGGATGACCGGAATGGCTACCACTTTCATCCACTTTCACTCGATCCGCGGAGATTCAAAAATGAGAAATGTGTGAGCAGGACACCAGAATCAACCAGCTCAAGTCAAACAAGTTGCATTGTTGCCTGCGATAGGGGCCGGAATGACATGTCTGCAACGCGGAAACGCAAGTATGTGCAGGAATTTTCCACCTCCAACAGGGCTGTGTCACTGAAAATCATAGTGTTGGCACGTGCGTTCGCATTTGCCAATTTCTGGAAGACCACACCAATCACTGTGGCATCCAGCATCAAGCCAACGACTGTTTGCACAACGATGAGAATTGCTGCTTCCCAGCACTCTCCAAAGTTTGGGTCTGGCACACCTTTGCGCAGCATGGGTTGGCTGGGCCGGCCGTTTACCTACCTTTCTGCCTCGCCAAACTCTCGCATATGGCACAGGGAATTCCAAGGCAATTTAATTCCTGTTTTGCTGACTGAAAATGACTTACCAGAGGTCAGCCCTTGCTGCCTAAGTCCAATGGAAGTTAGACTGGAAGCATCCGGCATCTGGCAATGGGGAGCAAGAACAAAAAAGTGACCCCTTATCCAGCACCAAGAAGCCATAGCCGATGGTCATTTGTGTCTCCACCGACAGGTAGAAAGCATCTCTATACGTGTCAAGTCCGATGGAGCAAATATCTGTAAACCAAATCCAAAAGAGGGCAAAGAAGGCGAAGCATGCAAAATACCTTGGAACAATCCCACTGAAAGGTGTACAAATAGTGGAAATTAGTGGAATGCGTGAGGGGAAGGTGTATGAAGCGCGCTTTTTCTTCAAAGTTCTTCCTGTCATTGCCACATCATCGGTCTGCAGAATGGATTTTAACAGCCAGTTCCACTCGTCGTCGCATGATCAGCTCAAGTATGTTCATTTTTTCATACATACATACAAATCAAAGAACTTGCCGGCTGAGGGACACTGTCAAAGTGACTGCAAAAAGGCCAGGAAATGGCAGGTGAATTACCTTGCGACAAGACGCCAACTTTGCAAGCGCAGCAGGTTGGCATGTCATGTCAAGCCCCTCGCAGCATGCAAACCATGGCACGGTATGAAAAAAGTCGAGCAAAAAGACGGCGCAGGTCCTTCTCGTCTGCAAAACGTGAAAGATGCCCTTGCTCTGAAATTCCACACCTTCCTGAGACGCGAGCAAGACCGGGGGATCTGTTTTCAATCACCAAAACATCACACAACAAAGACCCAACGACACAACACAACGACACAGCACCTGCATGCACCTGCAGAACGTTAGCAACCATGCATTCACATATTTTTCTGACATCTGTTGACTGCTATAATTACTGTATTCTGCGGCCTCAGCTCAGAACCACCAAATACCCTGCCCAACACAAACACAAACGCTCACCAACCACCGTGTTAGCATTGAAGTATTGGCTGTGATCTTTGTCACAACTTAGGGGGGACATGACGATTGCCTGACTGCCAAACACGACTGACTGCCTAAAAGCCGTCACAACAATACGGCTCTTCGTCAAGGTTCTCGATCTAAAATACGGTGTATCTGTCTGCGTCGCTGCTTCTTCCCGCTAGCAGGCTCGGGCTTGCCATGGTAGACGTCCTCCGCCTCCGCGTTCCAGCTTCACCACAAAAATGTACAGTATCATACTGTGCCTTGCTCTGGCACAGCAAAACTCAGCTCAACCATTGTGCCAAGCTGCAGAATCAGACGCAGAATCGGAGCTGGATGTCGTCTGGCGGGGTCCACTTGAAGAATGGGCTTGTTAGAAAAATAGAATGATACTAGAATATTATGGATGTATGCCACTTCACTGCAGATGTGCTTGTCTTTCATCTACTTCTTTATACGAGAGGCAAAATCAAGATATATCAAGCAGGTTGCAGTCCAGTCCACTGTCGTCCATGTCCAGTCAGGCCTCAGGACAAAGTGCTGGTCTACGTCTCCTTCTGAAGAGGCAGCATTGCATACCGCAGCAGGGCATACCCGTGGACCTAGGTCAAGCGATCAAGCCATGGCTATGACTGCTATGACTGCTATGACATCCGCGACATCCGCAGCGTTTGAAGCTGCCCAGTGGCTAAAATGTCTGCGCGGCTTGGCGCAGCAATGGCTTCTTACCACCATTTCTCATTGATGTGAGGTACTACAGCCAAACAGCCGCGAGAGTCGGAAACGTTCTGAATGAGTAGACCTTAATTGACTGAAACTAGCTACTAGTCTAGTCTCGGCTTGTTCATTCATGGGGGCGGCACAAGCCTGAATGATCGAAATCAGTGGAAAATCCTGACCATATTTCGGCATAGATGCAGCCAAGCAGGACTTGATAGGTTGCCCTCTGCTACGCTACCAAAAATGTACATTTTGCAAACATGGTTGGGGTTTGATAGGGTTTTGTGTGACCCACGTCGAACACCGTGAGATAGCACGGAACCACTTCATTACATTCCCAGAGCCCAAGGCATTCTTGTATGCATATCTATAATAAGTAATTATTGGACTCAGCACAGGGCACTCTCCAAACATGCCCATGGCAGGGCGTTTATACCTTCCAAAGCGGCTCATGGCAGAGCTCGCATTAGTGCCCATGGCAGGGCATGTTTTTCCCATAGACCCAAGGCAGGATCTTTTCCAATTTCAAAGCTTTGTTTCAAGCGCATTTGCGCTTCTTTCCACGCCTCCCATCATTGAATGAATGATGCTCGGCAACAAAAGTTGACGAAAAACGAGCAACCTTATGTTTTGCAGCCAAGGTCATCCGGAGGCGCGGCAGCATTGCCAGCCCGTCACAGATGTAAATTCGGGCAACATTGGAATTTTTCCAGCGCCCTCTAATGAGCGTACGCTCCATAAGACCGTGAGATTGCATCTCATAAGTTGCTCCCCCACAGCGTAAGCTGTAGGTCTGAACCCAAGGTGTTGAATTTCCAACGCATCAAGAATGCGTCGAAACAAGGATCGAAAAGTGGACCCACTCCGGTCCCAGCAGGGCACATTGCCCATATTCAACTGTTGTCGCAAAATAACCATCGCACGGACAGTCTCCAGCGTGGTCAAGTCACGAATTGCGACGCTCTCGCGTGAATTATTCCGGAGGCCCCTCTTGCTAGAGGGAATGGAAACAAGCCCTCCTTCATCATCCAACAAGAAATCACAAGGACGAATCTGGAGGAGCTCACCCGTTCGCATCAAGCAATGAAATCCAAGCAACAACAAGGCCGCCAAAGTAAGCTCATTTATGTGAAGGCAATACACAGCCATAGCCAAGCAAATGTCTTGAGTCAAGGGTGGAGCTCTTGCAGGAACCTCATACCTCCTCCAGATACTGTACGAGCGCCATGATTTACCCAGCTTCTTACGGGTAAAGGGCTCAAAGTGGTGCAGCCCAGACAGCACATCAGCCACGAGATGGAGGGGCGTGCCATCTTCGAACTCGGCTTGCACCGACTCGGACACCAGTTCGTCCAGCTGGAACTCAGAATTCACTGACTCCAGCACGGGCGCAAGCCTTGAAACAGCAAGGTAATAACGCTCAAGCGTAGCCTGGGTTGTACCCACATCCTCCAACACAATGGACTGCCTGGCTCGACGGCGGTCAGCCTGGCTTGCCTGGCCAGGCCAGAACTTATGTTCGGCTGGCGGCATCTGTTGGGTTCTCGGTTGATTCGACGTGGGAGATCAACAGATAGATGTCATGAGCCATGAGAAGCGCAGCTAGCCGACGCAACAAAGGTTGAAGCATTTTTGATGATGATCTCCCCTTTGAAATTACACTCATAGCAATGTAGGAATGGCGGTGGGGGAGGCGCCTTAGGGTTGGCGCCCGCACGGACAGAGCCAGCGGGCTGCGGCGAGGCAGCACGGACCTTGCCAGCGCCTGCAATCCCTAAGCCGACAAGGTCAAGGGGTCATCCGCGCACGCAAATCCAGGTCACATGTACACACAGAGACCTTTTTCGAGCCTTACGGTCACCTGCGCACGCAAAACGACGGTCACATGTACACACCAGCGATCCCACGGTCACATGTACACACAGGCGCGGTCATATGCGCACGCAAAACGACGGTCACATGTACACACCAGCGATACCACTGTCACATGTACACACCACTACTCTGGATATGGGGTAGGGTGGAGTGATAACGTTCATGTTTCTGTGCACGCACAGGCACGGCAACCTTATCATCTTTCTGGCTGCTCAGCAGGCACAGGCACTACTCAGCGCTGCGTTCCACTGAACTATTGTCTCTATTTTACTTCTTCATTTAAACTTCCCCCCCTGTGTGCCACTAAACTATTGTCTCCATTTTACTTCTTTATTAAAACTTACCCCCCCCTGCGTTACACTAAACTATTGTCTCCACTTTACTTCTTTATTTAAACTTCCCCCCCTGCGTTCCACTAAACCATTGTCTCCATTCTACTTCTTTATTTAAACTTACTCCCCCCTCCGTTCCACTAGACTATTGTCTCCATTCCACTTCTTTATTTAAACTTCCCCCCCTGCGTTCCACTGAACTATTGTCTCCATTCTATACTTCTTTATTTAAACTTCCCCCCCTGCGTTCCACTCAACTATTGTCTCCATTTTACTTCTTTATTTAAACTTCCCCCCCCTGCGTTCCACTAAACCATTGTCTCCATTCTACTTTAAAATTTTACACTTAATCCCCCTGCGTTCCACTAAACTATTGTCTCCATTCTACTTCTTTATTAAAACTTACCCCCCCTGCGTTCCACTGAACTATTGTCTCCATTCTACTTCTTTATTTAAACTTCCCCCCCTGCGTTCCACTATAGTCAACAACTTCCAAATAGAAAATGGCGAATTCGGCACGAGTTGCTAAAAATGACTCATAGAACATTTTTGTCAACAACCTGCAGATAGAAAGCTTAATGAAAAACTCAATTTCGCGTGTATATATATATATATACGTTTTTGAGCAATTTTACTCTAAAGCAAAGTGAGATAGAAAATAAAAAAAAATCAAATGAGTCCAAAACATCACAAAACCATATATATATACACGTAATTTTGACTTTTTGTAAAGACAAAGTTGCAATTCATTTGCCGGCTCTTTTTTTCGTATATATATATATACGCGAAATGCCGATTTAGGGTAAATTTTCTTCACAGATAGAAATAGGACTACGAAATACTGTTTTTAGCCAAATTTCGCAAAAGACAGATAGAAAATTATATATATGTACAAAGTATATATATAAATAGTTTCAAACATATTATATATATACTATTTGTTGTTGTTTTTTTTGTATGTGGATGTCTTTTTATAGAAAAAAATATTTGTACAGTGTATATATATGTATATATACAATAGGTCTGTTTCTATTATAGAATATAAGATGGAACAAACATATATACATATGTATATGTGCATGAGATTGAAAACAATCATGAAACCATGTCTATATATATATACTAATGTGTATTTTTTCTTGCAGTATTTGCCTCTTTGAAAATCTTGCAGATGGCAAATTCCAAAATCTAGGAAACTGGATTTTTTTCTTTCGACATTCTTATGCCTTTATATTACTGTGTAGTTGCAATGATAAATAAGTTTAATAAATATATATATAGATACAAAATAATAATAATAAAAGTGGTAATAATAGTAATAATAAATATTATAGAATAATAATAATACATGACCATTTGTATGCCCTCTGCCAGTTCAACAGTTCTGTTGCTTTATATTACAATTTATCCAAATTTAACCAGAATTTATCCAAAAATAAATTGCCTGGACTTCTGCCCCAAGGCAGGGAGAGATTTCCTGTTTTTCCCAAAATTTCACCAAAAAACGTGGTTTTCACACCAAAAATGCAATTTATGGAGCCAAAATCGTGATTTTATCAATTTTATCACTGGTTTATCCCAATTTAATTCAAATTTATTCAGTTTTACATGGAGGAACACACTCAAAGTCTTTGGATATAATTTACAATTGGTTTAAATCTTGTGGAATGTGAATTAGTTAAGAGCAAAAGAAGAAACGTTTCTGAACGAAAAATGAGAAAACACATAGGAACAACCAGCATTGAGTCAACATAAGAACAAAAAACAAAACACATGGAAATATATATGTATATATATAACTGCATTTATATGTATATGTATATATATATATGTGTGTGAGTGTGTTCACACCTTATTTCTCCATGCTGTAGTCCATGTTGATGAGTCTTCCTCCGTTTTTTCCATTAGTTCACCAGGGGATTTCATCAGTTTTCCTCATCTGTTTGATCATTTTATAAAAAGGATTTGATCAGTTATTCAAATCTATTTGATCAGTTTATCACACAAAAAACATGTTTCCCACCTATTTGTTCATTATATCGTTTGGTTTCATCAGCTGTCCCAAGTTTTCCCAATCTATTTCTCCAGTTGATCATTACAGTTTGTCTTCAGTTCTCTAAAGTTTTCCCAACCTATTGGTGCATGTTAACATTGGGTTTCATCAGTTTTTCCCACCTATTTCTTGAGTTCATCATGATGTTTCATGAGTTTTGGTTGTCCGTTCCTTCATTGTATCATTAGATTTCATCAATCTTCCTCACCAAAGTCTTCATTGTACCATTCATTTTCATCAGTTTTCTCCCAACTACTTGTCACTAGATTTTATCTGTGTTCCCCAACTACTTGTTCATTTTACCATTGGCGTTCATCATTTAGCCCATCCATTCCTTGATTTTATCATGAGATTTCAATCAGTTTTCCCCACCTATTTGTTCATTTCTCACTCGGTTTCATCAGTTTTCCCCACATCCTGGCTCATTTAGTCACTGGTTTTTTTTGGGTTTCTCCATTTCTTCCTTTTATCCGTGAATTTCATCATGTTCCCGTCCTATTGCAATGTGTGTATTATGCATTATCTTTTCTAATTTATCTATAATTTCAAGTATCTAAAAACATGTTGCTGAATGACATAGAGAGAAGGATACAAGACTAGAATACATTCCGG